CCCCAAAACCCCAAAACCCCAAAACCCCATTAAGCTAATAATGAGTAAAAGTAGTTTTTGTTTATCTTTAAGGCTTATTAGGTAATTAACTTTAAATTTAATTTCAGTAATTTTTACCATTCTACCTTAAAGTATTTTAAATTCAAAGGTTTTAGATTATTTCATTCATAGAAGAGTATCAATAAATATGGGGTAATCAATCCAACAATTATAGTAGTGAGCTCAATTGATTTACTAAAATGCTCTTCATCATGAACATGATCCTCAGGTAAGTGATGGTGAGTGTGAGGTCTGTGAATGTCTGTATTACAGAATACTTCTGGTAAGATATGAATTGTAGCTACATAAAGGAATGATCCGGCTGAGACAAGTAGTAATATTCCAACCCAAAACATTAATAACTGTTAATCTGATTCTTTCTCCCAATTCAACAATGCAAAATAACTAAATATTGCTGTCAATGGGCAGGTTAATGTAAATGCCTAGAATTGGTTAAGAATATGTATAGTTAATATTAGAATTTACCAAGAGATGCTTAGCCAACCCCCAATCTCTAAGTCCTTCATGATACAAAAAGGTACCGAACCCAATTGAAGCAGGTGCCTTATGAAGTAGGATTGCAAGAAAAATTAATAGTCCAAGTCCTGAAGCGCTTGATCCAGTATCACTTTTAAAACTCACTAAATAAATAGTAAATTAAAACTTTCATAATTTAAGTTCATACAGAAAAGAGAAGCTCCAAGTGCCAACCCATCAGCAATTGAATGAATTACTAGTCCTATAGTAGATACTAAAATATTTTCAGAGTCTCCATGGTAGTGTTCATGGGCATGAAAATGGTCCTCATGCTAGTGAACAAAAACATTAGAAGCTTGCTTTTCCTCAGATTTATGTGTTTCATCATTAATAGTAGTCTTTTTACATTTATTAAATAATAAGATATCATTACCGTAGTATTTTCAGTCTGAACCACAATGCAATTATCTTTTTTCTATTTATTATTCTTTACAGCTGAGCACTCTAGATCTCTTTCACTTTTTTAAGACTCAAGTAGTGGAGTTTTTAGTTCCTAGGATCGAGTATTAAAACAAAATAACTTACCTTCTTGTTTTTATGCTTGTGCTCATGTTCATGATCGTGTTTGTGCTTATGTTCTTTATCTTGTTTTTCATTAGATTCATTGTGACTGTGGTTGTGTGCATCATGTGAACCAATACTGACTTTATGTTCATGATCATGATGGTGATTTTTTTCCTGATCATGGTTGTGTTTATGCTCATGATCCAAATCGTGATTATGCAAATGCTCATATTTCTACCCTTTTTTCATTTTCCACTCTTTTATGATTAAGAAACCTTGATCAAGCAATAGCATGATCGAGAAACCAATAATTAGAGATGCACCTACATATTTTGTGATATTAGGGTTCACTATGTTCGATTCACCGGGGGAGTGAAGTTGTAGAAAATCATGTGATAAGAAGTCTCTTGCTTGTGATTAAGATAGTTATTTTTCTGTATGCATATTTTGATTTACTAAGTCTGAAGAAGTTTATGCAAGAGATGTAGCTTTTAGGTTTGATTATTATAATGAGCTGAAAAGCACCAACATTCCCTCAGGAATAATAACCACTAAAGCAGAACCAACCAATAATCCTGCGCCGAATATAGCAATCAAGTTCATTATTCTTTGAGAAGTAGTTAGTTTTGTAGGCAAGTATCCCAATAGGAATGTAAAAATAAACATTCCCGCTCCAAGTGTTATGACCTCTAATGATTGATTCATTTTAGTTAATATCTATCTAATTATTGAATTCTTTGCTCAATTCAATATTTAAATCAAGTTTTTAATATATTTTACCTATCAGGAATTTATACTCCAATCGAACTTTCATTAACTTAATATTGAGTCAAGGGGTTTTGGGGTTTTGGGG